TTTAAGGCACATTTCAAATTTAAAATATACATGTGACAGTTCCGTTTTATTGATGTTTATACATTATAATTTGCCAATAGGTCAAATTTATCATCTAAATGCATGCAATAAGGATAAAAAGCAGACGATATGTAGGGTGAGAGAGTACCAGTACTTTATGAGCTAAAAAAAGAAAGCGAAAGAAGAGAAAAATAACGCATAAAGAATTTTAGACAGATTTTAAAATATAGCAGAAAAAGAAAAATGTTAGTTAACTGTCAATTTGACGAGTTATGCAAACATGTTGATGATATGTTTAGTGGAAAATATTGAATAAATTTTGAGTTCCATCTTCCTTCATCCAATTTTCCCCATTGAATATTTTTATTGAATTGAATTCAAAAGTGTACTGCAAAATTTTAGAAAATTCAATTTTTTTTCCTTTTTCTGAATTTTTATAAAACCATATGCAAACAAGGAAGTAATATATTTTTTAAAGGCGAGAAAAATCGATGTACTATTCATATTCAAGCAGTATATTCACCTTTTTTTTTTTTTTTCTTTTGCATTAATCTTTTGATAAAAGTTTTTTAAAAGTTTGTTTAGGATTTAATTTAACTTAAATGCTTGGCTAGAGTCTCAAAAATAAAAAGGAAAAAGGATAAATTGAGTTTTCCAATTATGAAATGAAATTTTTAATGGATTCTATTTTTTATGCTTATTAGATGTAAAACTATTTTGTCAAAGGGAAAAAATGGTTAGTGATAAATTCTAGATATCGATGTTATAAGTTTTTTCCAGTGAATTAAAATTAATACAGTACAATACTTGTTTCAACTTTACATTATTAATTTCATTGACTACAAAATTTGCAAAATGATTTAAAAAGCATCGATACATTTTCGTTTTTCTTTTCTCTTTTTTTTTCCTTTTTTTTGTTAAAAAGGAAACTATCTTTTCGATTATTTTATTTCAGCCATTACTTCTCAATTCCTTAGCACAACAATGAAAGGAAAAAAAAAAACTGTATTTAATAGCGGAACAAAATGATCCACTGATCCACCATCAATCAATCATTTTTTTAAAATTAGCTGATAAATTTCATCTTCTCTAAGTATTCATCAAACAGGATCATCTCTGTTTCATTGTAAATTTTCAATATTTTAGTCTGATTGTGTAAATTTGAGTATTTCCAGTATTTTATACATTTGTCAGAATTTGAATTGCGTCTTCTAAATTTTTAAATTCAAATTTTCAATTTATCAGAAGTAAGAGTAAAAAATGATAATTATCGAAATAAGATAAATATCTTATTCAGATGATCTTGAAGAAAATGATGAAACATGTATTGAAAGCAAGTTAATAAGATGATCGAAAAAAGTTTGTATATTGTTCAAGAAAAATCAGGAATTGAAGAGATATGATGTGTTTTCAAACCTTCCAAAATCTAATGCATTTACTTCCGCAATGTTCTAACTTTCTTCTTGTACGAATAAAAGTTTGAACATTTTTTCATTTTATCATTAAAAAATTAAACAAATGAAGAAGCAAAATAGCCGGGAAGAATTTATCTGAAAAATAAGGAAGTAAACTGATAGATTAATTAGCTTTTATAATCAGATAAGAATTACTGATTAGTGATTTGAAATGTAGAGAAAGAGATGTGTTTTTGAAATAAACTTAAATTGGAAATATTCATAAATTAATGAATCTGTATAAGTCACAGTAATATTTTATAATATGTATAAGGAAGTAAGCATAATGAACATGAATTATTTCACTTTTATAAATTGATGATATAAATTTCAGCTCAAAAGATTTTATCATAAATTTCATAATTCACTCATTACAGGTATGTCCATAGCAGTAGTAACGGGTGCCGCAAGGTACCAAGGTACTAGTTCCGTGAGGTAAAAATCCAAAAACGAGCTTTTCTTCTTTGAAGGAAAAAACATCAAACATCTCAAATAATGGACAGTTAGTCTTGTTCCTTGAGGCGCTTCGTACCAATACGTACCTACTCTTATCTTCATACTTTTCCAGTTATTCACTAAATACGACGATCAAAAATAGTAATGATAATGATGATGATCAACATTATTATCATTATCATGACAATGGCATTAGCACAAAATGCTAACGTTATCGTGAAATTTAATAATAAAATATTAGTATAAAATTAAATGACATGTCGTAATTATATCAAGTGCTTGATTTTCTATAATAAGCAACTAATTTAAGTATTAATTCGAACTAAATAATAATGACTTATTTTAATGTATTCAGCAAAAAAACAAATACTTTCCTTCTCATCTCCAATTATCTATTAAGTAACTCACTTTCCATTTCATTTTCAATATTACCAGATAGAAGTGCCATCTGACTCGAATGAAAAAAGTACTTTTTATTTTTTTTCTACAAAATTTTTCTGATTTGGAAATTGTGTCATGAGTAGAAAAAAGGAAACAAAAAAAAAAAAATTGGGAACAAACATTTTTCTCATACATGGAAGAGAAAATGAATAATTTCAGAAAAATTAAAGCAAATCATATGTGACATAAAGAAGAGGAAAAACAAAACAAAAATAAAGTAGGACGGAGGGAAGCAAAACAGAAGAAATCAGAAACTGGAATGGAAATGAGAGTGAACTGAAAAAGGACAGAATAGCCAAATAAAATTGAATTGTAAATTCAAAACCTAATTAAAACAACTGTATTATTGTTAACAGTTTAATTTTTCTAAATTTTAATTTACTGCATTTATTCCGAAACGGTCACTTATGTTTCGCTTTCATCTTCTTTCATTCGCTATTTCTTCGTTACAAAGCACTGATATTCACTTCAGCAGTCAATGGCATTAGTGTGCTACGGTAATTGATAATTGACCTGATCAAAACATCCAGAATAAATAAAAAAGATTTCGTCGTCATTTCACTTAAAAACAATTAACAGGAGACATCTCAGTTGAAAATAATTCGTATTAATTTAAACTAAAAAGTGATGAATTACGAAAAGATATTCATCTGGAGGGATTGATTTTTTACTTTTATTGATAAATTTTGTTTGAAAAATGAATTAAAAATCTAACGAAATGGAGTCAAATACAATAAAAAAGGACTAGTTGTTAAGTAAAACTTTGATTTAATATAAATAATGATAAAATGACATTGCCGTACAAAACGTATGGTTGATGAATATTACATCCTGATAGAAAATCTTCGCATAAATGTGATACACTCTTATATGGAATAAATAAAAAAGTATCGAAATGAAATTTATTTCACAGCAACAGTTTACTTGCATAAACTGCTGAATGTAAAATAACCCTCAGTTTTCTTCAGCAAATTTAAAGATAAGTAATTGCATTTTTCTAGTAAAAAGATCAGTTAAATGAAATATAAAACCTATCACTTACTTTAAAATTGTTGTATTATTAAAAATTTAATTTCATCGAAATGAATTATTTACATTTGATTAATATGTAAGAGAATAGAAATAATCCAATCCAGAATTAGTAATTTGATATATGCTCCCTTTTGCTAATCAAATAATACTTAAACAGTTCTAAAGAAAATATGATTATATATTAGATATGCAAATGTTTCCTACTTCTGGATTTCAAATAAAATAATTGCAATTCAACTATCAATAAATAAAATCCTTTTTGTAAACCTTTCCGTCAACTATAATGAGCAAAAAAAAAAAAAAAAAAAAAAAAAACAAATTTTTTCCTTGTCTGAATCTTTTTTCTCATTTTTTGAACTTTTAGCTTAGATAAAACAAAATAACCGGTTAATCCATTTTCATTAGCTGAATGATTTAGGATTACGACTAATTTTATGAAATTTGTGATTTCAACAATTTCGATAAATTTTCCGTTCATATTTACTTTATTTTGATCGGGATTTGCCTTCATAATAATTCGATAATAACAAGCGGTTTATGGAGCTGTCTCTTTTCCCCTCAATTAATTATCAATCCATTTAAGTTAAATGGTGTAAAAAGAAATGGTGCAGACAATGTTGGTTATTGTGCACCGGTTGGTTGCTACTTGATTAGTTGTCAACTGGGTCAAACCAATAACACATACACACAGCACAAAATAACCCCATAAAATACTTCGTTCATTCCACAATCTTTCTGGATGAATGCAAAAGATTCCATTCTTGAGAGGATTTTCTATAATTCGCTCACTCAGCTCTTGTCCCCATTTCTCCATCTTCGAAAGCATTATGAAAAATAAAAATGCACTAAAATATTTCCTTTAATGACTAAAATAAATATTTGAAATAAACTGTTTGCCACTAGAATTTATAATACTCCACAACAAATTTATATTATTATTATTAATGTTAATAATAACAATTAGTATGATATTTTCATATTATTAATGTAACAAATAATGCGCCTAAAACAATAAATATAACTCCTATTGTTGTAGTATTATTAAAAGAAATTAATAAAATTCATTTACTACGATGACGAATACAATAATAATGACTATTATTCCTTTTTCTGATATAAATTTAAAAATAAAATTTAAATTTGAAACCTGAAATGTTTCAAATATTGCCTTATATTTAAAAATTAAATAACCTATACTTGAAAATTTTAAATACAATTAAAAATTTAAAAACAAAAAAAAAAAGTTTAAAAAATAACTTTATTTGAAAAGATAAAAAGAACGCTGGATGCATTGAATTAAACTCAAGTAATTAATTGGGAAAGCTGTGTGGAAAGCAGAACAAAGGATTAAACTAATTAATTAGGGAAAGATGTGTAGAAAGCAAAAGAAGATAATGATTATTAAATTTTACCGTAAATAATGCAACAATAAGGTATTACTTCAAGTGGAAGAGAAAAAAGAAATTACTATAATAAATTTCTGATTTAGCCATTTAACCATCTAAGTTTTAGCCAAGTCCTTTTTTAAAATCTTTCCAGTTTTTTTTTTTTTGGTTTAGTTTTGCAGTCATGCAAATAAATTGTTTAATAATAATGATAAGTCTTTCAAATCTATCTTTAAATAAGAAGACACAAACTTGTAATTTCCTTTCTGCATAGCGTACATGTGTAACTTTTAAAATGTGCTTGCATTCGATGACGACTTAGCGACGATGAATGGCAAAATATTTTTTGGCATATCGAACACCGGAAAGTTCCTACAAATGTTAATGATTAATTAGCTTGTCACTAAATTTATCTAGATAATGAGTACGCACTTGAAATAAATTTTGCATCATCGATAAAAAAGTTAAATAGCAACTGTCATAGGTGATAGCAAAATGAAGAATCCGATGAAACAAATGATTCGAACCTCCTTTACCGAGTAGATTTTTTACTGTATGCTAGTTCTACTTCACATTCTTCTTTCATTAATTTGGGAAGGAATCTTTTGTCACTAACTCATTCATTCATATCACAATGAATTAAGTGTAATTCTGGATGAACATTCAAATAAAAAAAAAAATATTGATAAAAGCAAATAAAAAATTCATTGTTTCATGAAGTTTTACTAAAAATTCCTTACTTAAAACTTCTAAACGCCAAGAGTTCCAAATGCCAAGAGTACCTTACAAACAATTCATTCTTTTTTTAATGCTAAATAGTTATTCAAAAATTCATAATTAAAAAAAAAAGACCTTTTAAATCAGGTCTTTTCAGTACAGTTCTGAAATTACCATGCTGAGGAGTAATGCCTTGTTCTGCAGTGCTTAGTACTCGTGAACTCTGCTGAAAATTAAACAAGTTTACAAATGATACTGTATCTTAATTAATTACTATGAAAAATTTTAATTTTTACATTACTTAATCTTGTTAGGCTGAAATGCGTTAGCGCATTATGCGTCACTTCCCTATCATTCTCTTTTGCTATGACGGTATAAACTGAAACTAATTTTTTTGATAGATTACAGAAAAAAATTTCAGGTGTTTAGGAAGATATACTGCGTGTTGCGTAGAAAATTTATAACAACCTATGGTGGGGAAAAAAGAAAGAATGAATACACTTTTTGAATAATTTATATAATTTAATGGTTATGCAACAATTAAGTATTAGAGGAAAAAAAAATTTATTTCAACTGCAACAGGATGAAATATTCCATTTTGTTAATTCTATATTACTGAAAAGTCTAAAATATGCAATAATAAATAAACTGCTGAAGTAAAAGCATATAATCATTCATAAATGGGAAAAAAATTTACAGATCTTATAAAAACTTTACGAAAAGTTTTGAAAAAAGTAGTGAGATTTATTATGAATTAATAATTCAACGAACTTGTTTCGAAAGTTGCTCGAGAGTTTTAACAAAATCATCATCCATCAGTGCTTGTTTTGGAGGTGATGGTAAACTCGTTGAGCTATCGTGCTCTGACGATGGAGATGCCATTGAATTTTCCACAATACCTGCAATTTGCATAGTTTATTATGAATCCTTTAAGACTTGAAATGGTTTGCAAAATATATTGATTGCAATGCAATCATTACAGTAGCTATTGTGACATGATACTAGCGAAATATGATACTATTCTTTTTTTAATGATTTTTTTTTTAATTTAATTGTAATTAAAATTAAATTTTTTAAACACATAATTCATTCAACATTATTATAGTCAAACAGTACTGAGACAATTCAACAATCTCTTATTGAAAATATGCAATATAAGCTAAAGAAATAAGTAAGTCAATTATAAGGAAGTAACAGAAGCCCATAACATCAATTTATGCTAACCTATTGCCATTATAATACCGAAAAGATAATCATATATGTATAATTTGTATAAAATAAATATCTATTTCTTTCGGAATTTTTTTCCTTATTTCGAGTATACTTATATACATAGTTATAAAATATTTATATATACCCAATTCATAAGTTTTTAATCACAACCAAAATGGATTCACAAACGAGAAAATGTAGAGGAAGAGAGAGAAAGAGGGAGAGAAAAAGAGAGGGAAATAAAAGAAGAAAACACGGTTGTAAAAACAGAGAGAGTGAGAGAGAGACGGGATAAAACAAAGGATGGTTTTCTATTAGTGAATGGTTTTACATTAGCAAATTGTTATAATTTTATCCGTTTTTATCTTTTGCTCCATCTCCCCTTATTGCAACCTAATAATATTCTTATCTTTACTATGTTATTTTATTGTATTTGTTTCCAATATATATATACAGAATATACCCATAGGGATGTACAAATTTTATGTGAACAGTTACAATTGCAAAAGAGCTATTTTCAAAACTGGTTTATATCCGAATCTTTTTCTCTTCATTCCACCTACCGCAGCATTATCTTTTGTACCTCAACTTAACTTCTACCTACTATTTTAGATGAAAATAATCCGATGAGAAAGTATATTTTATGTAATACGAAATGACAAATGCTAGAGTAGTAAGCAATAGCATATGTAAAAATTTTGCTAAACTTATTACATGGAGTAAAGTATTAGTTGTAAATTTACTTAGCCTAATTAAAAACTTGGCTTCTTTTAGGCTAATAATAACTTAACAACGAATAACATGAGATAATCCGTCAGATTTTAGTAGTAGTAGCAGTCAGTTCCGCGGGTAAACGATGAATAAATGATTATTTAAACCATATCATCGTGATAGAACTAACGACAAACCACATCATAGTGGCAGAAGTGATGTTTGAAAGAACATTGTTAAAATTAACCCAATTTAGGCATTAAGCTAGCTGTCGATAATGAGTAATTAGAAAGATTTTAGGAGATTTAGTATGTATAATCCAATTATATACAATACAAAGTTTTTTTTTTTTAAACGATTACTTCCTCTAGCCAATAAATATAGCGTTTAATACAAGCATTATTTTTTTAATTATTTTCTCTTGATTAATTTTTTTTTTAATTTTTGTTAAAATTTTTTCTCTCAACTTGCATTTATTTCATATTTCAATTTAAATCTTTTTCCACATTTTCTATTCTTGTCGCTCTCTTTCGCTTCATCTCTTTTCAGATTTTTAATTTTAACTTTTTTAATCTGAGCTTTCAATTGTTTCAATAGATTTTACTTATTTTCCAATTACGAAATAAACAGGAATGAGTGATGAATGTTTACTTTTTTTTCCCTCCCTTCATGAAATGTAATTCTTTCACTCATTTAATTTCATTTTATTTTATTTCATTTATTCTTATTATCAGCTTTCCTTTCATAAAATATTACTGAATATTTGAAAAGGTACACAAATTTCTGATTATTGCAGAAGATGAAAAATGAAATTTTGAAGTAAAAAAAAATTGGAATAATTGGATTAAAATTTGAATTCACGAATGTGCTGTCCCATGTCCCCTGTCCCTTACCTCTTTCTCTCTCTCTCCTAACAATTACACACAGACAGAAACACGCACACCCACACATCCACACAGATACATATATATCATAGTAGTAGTAGTAGTAGTAGCAAGAGCAGAAGCAGTAGTAGCACATACGGGTCACTGGGTCATATGACCGAAAAAAAATTAAGGAAAAAAAAAAGAAAACTTCCTTCTTCTAATTTTTCTATTTTTTCTTTACTTCTCCTACTGTTTGAATTGCTTCATTTATTGTTTGATCCGTAGCGTCATTTGAAATGTCAATCTCTCGGAAATGATTTAGGATGGGATATGATTACTAATCAGAATAAATGAATAAAAAAAGACAGAAGGAATAAATGAATGGAATAGACTTGCACAGCCATCTACTTTTTGCTACAAATTTAATATTTTAAGTATTTTTAATTTAATTTTAATTAAAGACTAAAATGGAATTTTACTTTCACCTAAAGCACATATTATACATTATTAATTATCTTCTTTTTTTTTTCTAAATTATTCAAATAAATTTTATCGGACATATCAGAAGAAAAATATGTCAATCACAGCATATAATTAAATACATATAAAAATATTGATTAAATAATAGTGAATTGAACTAAACAAAGCTCATTTTGTTTAGTTTTTTATGTTAGCTTAGAAAAAAAAAAAATAAATAAATGAATTGGTCAAAATTAATTGAGAAAAAAAAAAAACAAACATATATGATAAAACAAGTTAATTTAATTTTTTTTATGACCTTGTAACAGAATCTCGTGAAATTATAGTTTGGGGAAAAGCTACATATAAAAAATTCTAGATAGTATGCAACGATTAATATTAAATGGAGGTAACAGAAGATTGTCATCTTAAAGATAAATTTATATTTGTTATTAACTTTCGAGCAATTACACCTATTCCACTTTAGAATTTATAAAATTTGCATGGAACGTCCAATTTTCACTTGTTTTATCATAAGTGAATTGAAATTTCATGGATAATTCGAGAGATAATGATATTGTGAAGGGAAAAATGGAGAAGAAAAGAAACAGTTCCAAATTTTTATAAAGTCTGTGCCTTGAAATTTTACGTGTAAAATCTACAAAAGTTATGAAGAATATAGAAAAGTTATGAAATATATTGAAATTTCAAAAACGAACGTAAGTGGAATTAGATTATCAATTTTTTAGAATTTTAATTTTGTTCCGTTCAACATACTTTATGGTCAATGATCAACGATTGTTTTCAGTTTGAAATATGCGGGCTTATTTCTTTATTGAATGTGAAAAGAACAATGCTATATCATGATTATGGAATGAAATTTTCAAGAATTTCAAGAAATATAAATTATTGAAATTAAAAAAAAAAAAAACAAATATATGTTCTTGGTCAATCATTTTTGATTAATTTTCAAGAATTAAAAAAATATATGTATATAAACTGCTTAATATACACATATTTCAAAAAAAAAGAAAAAACTTCCTCTGCAGATTACAATTATCATTTACAAAAAGAAATGTATTAATTAAACATAAAGAAAGAAATTTTTCATATATAAAAAAAGTAATATCAGTAATTTCAAGTAATTTAAATAAATTTAAATGAAAACTTTAAAATTTCATTTTAAACTACGAAAACTGCTGATATTTTGTTGAAAAAAAAAAAAGCAAATAAATGCTGAAAATCTTTTTTTTTTATTCTTGCAAGAATTGAAATTAATTATAAACCTTCATTATTGTCTTCCATTGCTATGATCTCATCGTTATCTTCTGTTGCTATCACCGCGGTAATATCATTAGATCTGGATCCGTGCTGTCGTTCTGCGACACCGCAAGCTGCTGCGATTTTTAGCTGTTCTTCCAGTTGCGAATGTCCAGCATTTAATATTAGTGCATCCATTATTGTACAAATAATTACAAACAGATAAATATTAAACTTTCAGATACATTCTCCTATTTCATTTGTCGTGCATCTATCATCGGTGAAATCACTGCAAATTATGTAAATTCAATTGAACTTGATTAGAAAAAAAAAAACTTTTTAAATGGCACAAATTTATATGAATTTTAAACACAATCACATCTTTTCCTCTCAGAAAAAAAAGAAATTCTGATAAACATTTAAATATTTCGAATACATTTTATAGTTGGTTGCTACATGGAAATTTTAGAATTTCAATAGTTTAATTTAATTATTGCAAAAGAACAAACAAACTGAAGGTAAATCATATTTGGAAAAGCCTATTTTAAAGTTAATATTGCGTCCAACAAGAAAGTTTAGTTTCTACTAGTATGAGTTAATTGTTACAATTCATTTTTCATGTATAGAATTAACTTAATGCTAAATAATTTTAATTTTCAGAAATTTCATACTATCAAAATTAATTCTTATTGGAAAAACATGGCTAAAATTTTCAAAGGAAAAATTCTAAAAAGATACCATAAAAAAGAACATTGCCATGTCACTAGTTTCATTCATTTGAATATTTTGGAAATGAAAATAGGATAAAAACCTGAGAGATTAGTGATCACAACGAATGAATGTGTTGCATAATTTATAATTGTTAAAATTAGCACAAGGAAAAAATTACTCTATTGGACATAGCTTATTAATTATTATATTAACAAAAAGCAATCGCTTTATAATTTAATGAATTTAATCTTTAGTTTGGATGAAGAAAAAGATAAAAGGAAAGAAGACAAAAAACGATAAAGTGATCAATGAATTCTAGTTGAAAATAGCAAAAGGAATATAGAACGATTTCTTAAACAAAAAATACAGAAAAACCCAAAAGATAGCGGAAGAGAGAAAAGGAAAGATGGAAAAAAGTTTGGAAAATTGGAAATTTTATTTATAATCAGGAAATGATAATAACAGGTTCTAAAAGTATTACATACAACCTTCTCGAATATATTTCCATTTTAATGAAGGGAAAAACATTCTAATTAATTATTAGCATAACAATGATAGTAATTATTAGCAATAATATCATTAATTAGCAATAGCATTAAATTTAATAATCATTAATTAAAATATAGAAAAATGGAATAATAAACCAATTAATTGTTGCTATCCATTAAAGAATAAACATGGTTTGTAATCATTGCACTGATCATTCCAGAAAAATATGGTTCATATTGCTTGGATAATTCCAAAGAAGAATGGGATATATTGTAGGAAGATGGAGGAGGAGGAGGAAGAGGAGAGAGGATACGGGGGAGGGGAAGGTGCGGGAATTGGGAGGGGGAGAAAAAAAGGGAGGTGGGTAAAGGAGAGAGAAGGAGAAAGGAGATGCGGGAATGAAGAGCGGGGAGAGGTGTACGGGGGGAAGGGGAAGGATAAAATTAAGACGAGGTGTGTGGAAGTGGAAGACCCAATTTGATGATAAGCTCCCGGGTGGAATGAAATGAGGGTTACTGGAATGAAAGGCATGGATATAAGGATAGACAGGGTCCTATTTTACCGAAATGCACCCCGGCGCAAAATTCTACAGTACAGAGGAGCCGCATTATCATTATCATCATCATCATCATCAGCAGCAGCAGCATCAACAGCAGCAGCAGCAATTCGCCTAAAAATTTCTCTTTCTTATTCATTTCATTTCAAATTTCACTCTCATCCCGAATAGCACTCATTCATTTCATTCATTCATTCTCATTCTACTTCATCTTTCTAATTCATACTACGTTGCTATCAATCTGAAATTTTGAATTCATTTCCAGTCATCGTCATCCTTATCATTGTTACCATTATCACCATCATCATTACCATCATCATGATCATGTCACTATCATCATTATCACCATCATCATGTCACTATCATCATCACGATTACCATCATCATGAACATGTCACTATCATCATTATCACCATCATCATTATCATTATCATCATTACCATTACATAAATATCACCATCACCATTATCATTATCATAATCACCATTACCATCATCATCATTATCATCATCATATTACCATCATCCTTATCACCACCATCATCATCAACAACAACAAACAATACATGAAATTTCAAAATAGATACACCGGATAAGTAAATCATTTTAATAATCTTTTCTTCGAAATGACTAAGAAAGGGAAGTAAAAAAGCAAAGGAATACAAGATACATCAAAAAATATCATAATAATTTGGAATGGAAGAAAATAGACAAATATTTGAATTTGATAATAATACAGAAAATAAATTCTTAAATTTAAACTTTCCTTAATTGCAACTAATACATTTAAATTTATCATTTGTATAATAACAAAAATATACTGATCAAGTTTAAGAATGGAAAAAAAAAGCTAAATGATGCTTTATTTAATGAGCATCGTCGGAATAATTAAAAAGAAAAAGTCGTAACATTTGAAAATTTTGGTAAATGTTTTTAATAAATGAAAATATTTCTTTTATATAATAATGAAGTGCTAAACAAAAGCGGTAAAAGCTGGGATGAGTTGGAGGAAAAGAGAAATTTTCGTAGACTAACAAAATATACTGATCAGTTTGTTAGATATTACTGCTATTGATAATGATAACAATGATAACGATGATGACGGTGAGTGATAGTGATCGTGATGACGATGATGATAATGGCTTGATGCCGATTGAGAAAAAGGAGCATTTTTGAAGTAGTTTTAATTGTTGTGTATTGTTGTTGTATTGTTCAGTGAAGGAGCATTGGAGCAGGACATCATCGACCCAAATTCGACCGATCGTCGTCGAAATCAAAGCAATGGTTGTAGTCGCTCATACCCGGTTTATTGCCACATGTCATATCTTAGATCAGATTACTTATTCTTATTGTCATTTTTGCAAATCGCTTCAACTATTTGGCTACCTATTATATACTCTCATTTTATCCAAATTTACCGTAAAACATCACACATATCATATCATATCATATCATATAATATTTGCAATAATTAATGAAAGGAAAATTTTTGTGGATCAGAAAATTTCATTTCTATTTCATTCTGAATACTTGCGTTTTCCCTGTTTTCTTCATTTTCTTCTAATCCTCTCTCGTCTTGTATTCATCCTCCCTTATATTTAATATTTGAATTCAATCCACAAAAATAATACATATTAATTATTTCTGATTTCAATAATAGCTATCACAAAGATAGTAGCAATGATTAGAGAAATCAAGTTTAGCTAAGTAAAAGTTTTATTTTTCTTTTTTTGAAGAAAAAGAAATGGAAAAGAGAAAATTCACCAATGTTTTTGCTAAAAAAAAATCTATTAAGTAGTCATCGATGATTACTTTTATTGTCGACACCTAATTGCTTACAAATCAACGAACATCTTTTCAACATAAACAATCAAAAGTAAAAATGAAAGGAAAAGAGCAGTGAAACACAGAATGCATACATTTTAACCGAAATTAAATGTTAAATTTAAGACGGAATTAAAATGAATGATAAATCAGTTTGTGTAATATAATAAATGCAAATGATTGGCACTAAATTCTTCAAAGAAAAACGAAAAACGAATAAAAGTAAAACAAAAAAAATTGAAAAATTAGTTAGCAGATATAAATTAATGCAAGCTATAACAACAAAGAAAACAGTTAGAAATAAGCTTACAGTAATTATCAAAAGTTAAAAAAAAGAAGTTCCAGCTTAACTCTTTGCTTTCTTTTATTTGCATAAATTATTTTAAATAGCTAATCTAACCTACTAAAAATTAATTTATAAGTTGAATTTTTATAAAATGAATTCTTATTTTATGTCATTTTTTAACATTGTATGATAATTTATGACAAATTAATTACTTATAATTTTTCTGTACTTAACAAAAAAAAAAAAAAAAAAAAAAAGCTTTTTACTAGAACAATATTACTTACTATAACAATGCAATATTAGTACTAAATTATAGTAATACTAATAAACAATAAAAGTAGCAGTAATAACAACAGCAACAAAGACAGTAACAGCAGCGGTAGTTAGTTAAGTGACAATAAGTTGACAACGATTAGTTATCCTGTTTGAATATTGATGACATAGTTGAGCATATGCTGATCAAAAGAGTGAAACCATGCGACTGGAACCGCTACTTCTACTACCTTTATTGGTCACTTGTAGCAGCTCACCCTAAATATATACCAGTTTTGCATATATTTAAAACCTAGCGGCGTTTAAGGAACTATCAGCAACGTACGTGTATTCCTCCTTAATCTTTTCTCTCTTATTAAATTTAATATTTATAAAACTATGTATGTCTATATATATATATATGTTCGTATGTATGTGTGTGTATGTGTATGTGTATATGTGTTTGTGTATGTATGGGTATGTTGTATGTTTCATCCGATTATTGTTGCTACACCTAAATATGGAAAGTAGCGAACAATTATGTGGGTATCTCCGGTTACACGATCAATCTGATAGTTTTACCTATAAAATTTCACCTATACTAAAAAAAAGAAAAAAAAAAAAAACAGATTTAAAGGCAACAATTTGTTATCATCAAACACTTCAGAAAAAAGAAAAAAGAAACTTGAATAATGTATAGCTATTCCCATATAGCTATTCCAAATTAAACTAAAGACAAAGTATGTTATCTGATCTTTTAATAATATACCTATCTAGACTAAGACCGAACATTGAGCAGGCATTTAAAGCTTAATTACAAATAATATAGCTATTTGGACTATAGATGAATTAATTATATAAAGCTGTACTACAGACAATGGAAGCATTTAAATCCAAACTGTGCAAAAAACGTTGCTATTTTTAATTTCTATTAAAATATTTAGTTTTATCATAATTGCTTGCATAGCAATTGTACGAGAAATACAATAAAGTTCTGACAGATTTATATCGCAGATGAAAGTTAACAAAAAACGATTTGCAACATTTTTAGTTTAAATTATTATCTTTCAGAACAATTTTATTAAAGTTGCATATTTTAAGGTTTTCTCATTCTTTTTTTTTTAATTCCATATTTTAAGGTTTTTTCATTCTTCTCTTTTTTGCTAAATTGTTATCATTTATTCAAATTAGAACACTTCTTTAATTGATATGAAAGATATGAATATAATTTCTTTTTTAATCTTTTATATATGACAAATGTGATATTTTATATTATATCACTTATTTATTTTATATTTTTCGCGCTGCATATTGAAATGCTATTTTGCTGATAGCGGAAAATTTGATATCAATCAATTTTCTTCAAATTTTATTGCTAATATGAATCTTTAATTAATAATAAAATTTGTTCCGAGTTTTTTTATTAAGTTTTTGATAGCTATCAAAAAACTAAACGAAACATTCGCTTGTATATATGCTTTTGCTTTGCTTTATTTTTTTTTTATTTTTTTGTTTTATCTTTTAGAAAAATTAATGAACACTTATTTATTTTTCTCATTGATACATACATATATTGCTTATTTCTCTTTTTATTTTATATGTCATTTTATGTTCATCTTTCTGTATTTAATAGTTCAAAAGGAATTTGAATGATTTTAAAAAAAGGCAGAAAATATCAGTGTTTTTTTTCAATTTTTTACGTTTAAATTTATTCCACACATTTAATCAAATAATAAACATTAGATTAAAAATCAAAAAAAAAAAAAAAAAAGAAAGAAACAAGATTATTTATTTTTGCATATAAAATTATGATGACATTATTATTGTTATCATCTAAGCAACTATTGTTCAGTTTAATGAAAAGTTCTTTTTTTTTAAAGTTAAAAAGTGCATAATTGATGTGCTACAAAAGGGAGAATGTGACAATAAATAAATTGATAGGGCGTGATGGAAGCATTTTACTGCTGAACATTAGAATAATTAAGGATAGATGGTGAATGGATAGAGAGGAATGGTGATGACAAGGAGTGGACATTAGGAAGGAATATCGAGAAAAATGACCGGTAGTTGGTGCTGCTGCTGCTGAATTGAATTGAGAAAGCTATGGGAGAGATTCAATCGCCTTTCTTCGTTCACTTCATTCGACCGCTCATTAATGAAGGACGATGCTTTGAACCAGTTTGAAGCGTCCAATAGCCAACTTTTATATCATATAAACTTGTCCTCTTCAGCAACTTTTCAATGTTGCTAGTGCTATGAGAATATGGGATGGAATGAATGAAATAAATCTTTTCACTATCGGAAGAAACATTGCCAATGAACAATGAAAGTTTGGAAAGGAAGAATGAAGAAGAATAGACAGCAATAGGCGGGCAAATGGCATGGATAAACGGGGGTTTGGCAAGGGGAGGGGGAGGGGATGATGAGATATAGCAAAGATGAAGAAGAGAAGGAGGTAGAAATTGAAATGATTGTGAATTATATTATACTACAAATGATCATCACATCTTAGCAATAAGCAAAAATAAATGAGTTATAAAATAAAAATTAAGTTGAAACATTTATAAAATGAGTAAAAAAAAGAAGTAATATGAATGATTTTAAGTCTATTTATGTAAGCTATAAAATACCAATTTTCGCTGTTAATTATCAAAATTAAATTTTAGAAAAAAAAAAAAAAAAAAAACAGAATACTTAAATAGAGCAGAAATTAAGAGGAAGAAAAAAGATGCCAAAGATATTAAATAAGAAATGTTAACATTATTTATGGATAATTTAAAATGAAAGAGTTAACATTTTAGAGTAAAAAATTTAATCAAATAAATCAAGCAACACCAATGATAACTTTTACATATATTATAATACTACTTGATTTTCGTGAATTTTACATCAAATATAATTCAAAAAGTATGGATATGTCAAAAAAGATTAGCAATAATGCTAACTTTTATTGTTTAATCATTTATTTGAATTAATTTATACTGAAACGGTATGTATATGAATGACCGGAATTAAAGAGAAATAGTATTCCAACAAATTTACAACTATTATTATGACGACAACATGTTTCTTGCTGTGAACGGGTTTCCTCTGATATTTTGTCGAATTATCCCACGACATATGTGACCTTTACCGATGAATATCTTTTCTGTCGAAGTGCAATTTTAGGTCAACTTTGAAATGCTATATGGCATTTCAATTTTGTTATATGATCCAATAGTTTTTTGATCCAATGAATGACTTAATTCAAATTAAGATCTATTAGATCATTCATTTTTGGTAATTTTTTCATTTTTTTATATCTAAATATAAATTTCATATTTGTAATAGTTGTCATATGGTTATCAAAATGAGCTAATACAAAGACATAAAGTGCTTAACAAAAAAAAAAAAAAAAAAAAAAAAATGAAATTAAGCAATTTAATTCAAAACATTACAAATTAGACAAAAAGGAAAAAAAATACCATAAGTGCACATAATTTAAAACTAATCAAAATATAAGAAAGAGATAGAGGTAGAGGGAGAGAGAGAGAGAGAGAGAGAGAGAGAGAACTGAAGCCATCTTCAATTAGATCAATTAGATATTTATTAGATATTTAATTAGAACATAATCCATAGAGATTGCAAGCCTCAATGTCAAATTTAATTCTATTATTCTTTCTACACAAAAAAAAAAAAAACAAATTTATCGTGTGTAAAATTTTTATTGATGAAACGTAATTGAAACGCATCAATATTTTGTATTAATGATCCAAGAGGGAAAAAAGAGGTAAAAAAATTAAAAGACGGAAGTTTTGAAATCAAAAAAAAAGAAACATCCATTCAAATATTGAAAATTAAGTTAATGCGATTAAAAATTAAACTTCCACATTACACATGGCACAATCATTGAGAAAAGTTGAAATAAAATATTATAAATAATAAATTATATAAAGTTGATGAGGAAAAGAAAAATAAAAAAGGGATGAAATGAGTTTGTTAAAGTGATTTGTTTAATTGGTTGACACAGACATATTAAATAATATATATGTGAAGAAAATGTGACAGCATTGCTGGTTCAACGGTTATTACTTGATCGCATGATTCCATTAAAATATAAAAATTTCGTGGATGGAAGCGTGTCACATAAGTGGACAGACAAATTGATAGGACTCAGAAGTATAGCATATAAGCAATGCAGCAGGTCAACATGAAAATTCAAGACTAACAGTGACAATAGTAGTAGTTTATATTATCTTTTGTTATTGTTATTAGTATTTTTATTATTTTATTGTTATTGTTACTGCTATTATTGCTATTGTTATCGTTGTTGTTGTTTTCCGTACCTTTGTTGTTGTCATTGTTATTGTCATTTATTGGAAAAGATCAAGAAATGCTGATTTATTGTAAAGAATTGTCACACGAAATGAAAGAAAATTGGGTCTTCGCAGCTCATCGTATAGGTCATCCTTCTGCTTTCATATATCCATAAGAAATGAAAAATGTAAAAGTAGGAAGATATCTACAGAAATATGAAAGATAAAAATTACATTTATGAAGATGAGAAGAATAAAACTAAAATTAGAAAATTAAGAAAAAAAAATTGAAACAAATTTTCTCCTTGTTTTTTTCTATTCTTCTCTCTCTCTCTCCCTCTTTCTCCCTCTCTTTCACTCTCTTTTACAGTTTTTTATTCTATTTATCTTTCTCTAAGTAAGCGATAATTTTTTTTTTTTTTTAATCGTTTGCGGAAGCGATAGAAAAACAAACTACGAGATGATTATATGATTTTACGAAATGAAATAAAATAGAAATGTAGGTCAGAGGATAATTCAAACTAAATGGTTGCTGAAAAGAGGTTACACAGAAGTTTAATTTGAAATTATTTTATTAAAATGAAAAAGAAAAAGAAAAAAACACTAGCAATCATTAATTAAATAATATTACATCACTGCTATTAATTTTTTGTAAATCTCTACTATTTCAATGATATTAGTGACCAAGTATTTAGCCAGTAATGGAAAAACTGATATTAATTCTCAGTAATAATTATGTTGATAATAATATGGATCAATAAAGAAATAAAACTTTAAATATTTTATTCAAAATATCAAATATAAAATTTGTGTAACAATTTTAGGAAAACCAGGAAAATGAGCAGGATGGGGTGTTGGGTAAAATTTGCCGTCTTTACCCAGGTTTATACAATGAAATAATAGTTTCCACTTGTCCTTTCTGTTCTATTTCTTTAGTACTTAAAGGACTTTACCCAATTTAACCATTCATATTTCCCTCTCTCCTCTTCTTCCTCCACTTTTCCATCTTTTTAAACCAAAAACAAGAATTTTGGAACCATTCATTTAATCAACGACTACATTTTATTATTAATTATCACTTTTATATAATTAATTGTGTTTACATAGTAATATTAATTTGATGTGAATCAATTAGTTATTGCAAAAATAATAAATAGAAAAAGCATAAATAAACAATGAAAAAAAAGCAATAAGAAAAATATTTGTAAAAGAAAGAAACAAGAAAGGATGGAATCGATTGTAGATAAGCTAATTATTAAAGTTTTTAATTTGTGTGAAAAAAATTATTTGATAGTGAGTTAGCATATCAGTTCAATGTTCAAAAATGTCACATATTAATTGATAGAGAAAAAAAAAAGAAATCGAAAAAGAATAAAAGATTGGATGAATGAAGAAGAAATTGATGAAAAATTATCCTCTCAAAAAGGATTTATTGAAGAAATAGAAATTAAAGGAATTTTTTTTTTTTTTTTTTTTTTTTTCTTTAGTTACGAAAAATCAGAAACAAACAATGCATAGTTATTACGGTTCTATTTCTATAAACAAAAGATTTTGTGATATTTCGAGAGTTCTAGAAACTACGGGAATTACCGCATGGGGAAAAAAAATTAAAACGAAAGGTATTTTTCACTGTACCAAATTGAAAAAGTATTCAAATTTTGGGCTTGTAAATGCTCCAAATAAAAAAGGACAAATTACGATGTTTCATCTTTTTTTTTTAGGCAGATTAGTTTTAAAATGAAATGATTTTGTGAAAAATAAATTAAAAAAATTTTAAAATTTTAACTTTGTGAGTTTCAAAAAAAAAAGAAATCAAAATCGTTGTTTTTGTCAGCACAGACATTATATTTCAATGTAATTGCTAGAATTGGATCAATTTTAATTGCATCTTTCTCTTAAATTTTCCTTTTATTACTTCGCTTTGTTTTTTTTTTTTTTTTTTTTTTTTTTTTTTTTTTTGTTATTCAGAATTTGAAGAGATTTCTTTATTGAACTTACAGTGGAAAAAGGTATTAAAATTCTAGGAGTTGGAAAAAGGACTGAGTGTAATAATGGGATATTTTTAAGGAAAGCACTAACTGATCTTATCGAAGATTTTTGTTGACAGTTTTAATCAGACGTTTAAAAGAACAATAAAATATTGCTGCTAAATGAACAAATAAAAACAAAGAAACGAAACGAATTGAACTGAACAAAAAAAAGAAAAACTTGTTAAAATGTAATGAGAAAAAAGATCATTTATTGACATTGATAAATGATGTAAATTACATAAATAAATAAACAAATAAATGGACTAGTACATATGAAAATGTAAAATTTTGAAATGATACATTCAAATGAATACTATTACAAGAGTAAAAAATTCTTTGTATTGCTATGGTTTAATAATAAAGTTCTGAAAATTTTCATACGGAGCTTTTTTTATTTATTTTGCTCCCTTTTTTTTTTTTTTTTTTTTTTTAAATTTCAGCAAAATGAATAAACTTAAAGAAGCAGTAAGTAAATTGCTAGTAAAATAACAGTCATTTTATACTATCTATCTATCACTTTAGCTTAAGCCCATGTCTTTTTTAAAATATATTAACTAATTGTTTAATTAATTCTGATTTTGCACAATTTCACATTGATATTGATAATGAAGTAATTTTTAATAGCATAGTATTTATTTGTCTTTTCGTCTATTTTTTGCGGAAAAAATGTTATTCAGTATTAAAATTTTTTAATTCGTTTTAAATATACATTAGCCCAGTGAAAAGATTATTTCCAATTTTTCTTATTTTAGCAGTTGGTCGATAAAAGCAGAATTTTCTTCAAATCAAGAAGATTTCAATTTCTGCTACATTAAATCATCTTGAAAAAGAAATACTTGGTATCTGTCATAAACTGATTATTAAATATAATACACAAATAAGCATGAAAGTAATACATGAAAGTAATAAATAAAAATTGTTTCAGGTAATTGAAATTATATTAAAAGTACATTTGTTAATTATTTGTTTATTCATTAACTAAAAACTTTTAGAATTGTTTGATTTGTTTTTTCTTGCACAATGCTCAAATTTGGTTCTAATCAATTCGTGAATTTTTCCAATAAATCACAGAATAGGCGAAAATAAAGCAATGACTGATAAGGAGCAAAATGCTTGGCAAGAATTGCGACGAAAAATGGAATGCTTATCAGATCGACCATTTCATATCGCATTTATCAGTATGATTCACGCGATTAATCATCGCTAATTGATCATCAATCATTTTAAATTAGAGCACTTATTTTCATTGTTTCAGATCGTTAAGGAAAGCTAAAAAAAAGTTTAATCTTTTTTCTTGAAATTTTAATTTCAATTTTGTTATTTCAAAATTTGACTAGTATTGTTTGTAAATTTTAGAAGGAAATGAAAATAATAACTGTTCCTATCCACAAAGTGAAATAACGCAATCTGAAAATACTGCTCAACCTGATTTGGTTTTTTTTTTTTTTTTTTTTTTTTTTTTTTTGCTTTCATTCGTTTATTATTTCTAATTTAAAATCGAAATCAAAAATACAAATTGTTCAAAAAGTTTCGTTTTGTTATGAATCATTTTAAATTGGAGCACCTGTTATTATTATTACAAATGCATTAAAGGTATTTAAAAGTACTGGCACTGAATTTTTTGAAGAAAATTTAGGTTTTTGAATTGTTCAAAGAAGTTGAAATAAATGAAAAAAGAAATACAATTGTGTATATTTATTACAGTTCTGAAATTTTAACATAACCTAAAATGAACAGATATCTTCGTCTTATCTAAAAACACTCAGTGATGCATCTGAGGAAAGTAAAAGTAATGGGAATATAAGTGAAGTAGAAAAGAAGATGGATCCATTAACAAAATTTTCATTATGTCATCGAGTAAGACAAATTCAAAGTAGCAATGTTGCACAACTCAATAATATATTCAATACCGATACAAGAAAGGTTTTGACTTCTCTTTCTGTTTTATAATTATCTCTTTTATTGATTGCTCACTTTTAATTTATTTTTATTTTTTCAAATACTAAAATCAATCAATATTTATATCGATTAAATTAGAATGAATGTTTATGTACTTCTTTCATTGTCATGGACAATCGGTACTAATTACAATTAAAATTAAAGATTTAACGTTTAAATTTAAATTCCTTTTTTTTCAAATGATGACTTTACATGATCAAATAAAAACTCAATGAATGCACTCAACAATTTTAATTCTTGTATTACCGATTAATTATTAATGCAAACATTTTCAGACAGTTGAATTGTCATCAAAATGTAAGGAAATAATTAATAGAGAACTTATGTTTTGGCATGATCGCATACAATTTGAAATGAGACAGGTGACTTAATATATGACACCTCAAAGTTTTTTCAACTTTCAACAGATGAAATTCATCATTGATTGCTATTTAATTCCAATTATAATATAAATTATAGTTGCATAATCAGTCAGTTAATTAATGGCCATTTTTAATTTGCATAAATTTTATAAAAGATGGCATGACATGTTTATTAATTTACTTTTAAGACAGTCTCATTTGTTTTAGACAGTTGCAATAATGTCAAATTTATCTGCGAGAATGGAACGAATAAAAAAACTTAATCAACAGCTTCGTGATCTTTTAGCATATTTTAATGATGACACAGATAGTTCAGTAACATCATCAACATATTAGAAATTGTAGAAGATCACTGGTAATGATGAGGTCAGTTGAATCCAAGCATGGCATAATCAAAAAGACATGTCGATAATGATATCACTTGAATCTAATCTTATAATTAATAAAATACTTTTTCTTCTGCATAAAATTCTCATCAATTTTCATTTTTGAGAAATAAAATTCTTATTGCCAAGTACATAAATGCAAATCACATTTGAAAAATTAATCCACAAATTTTGTTTGCAAGTAAATATATAATATAGTCAGTTGAATTTGATAATTTTAATTTCATTTTTTATTCGCAATTAATCATACGCTCAACGGATTAACTTAAACGAATATTGAAGTGCGTAAGGAAGATAAATGAAATGAAATGCTAGAGCAAATTTATAATTAAAGGAAGTAAATTTGTTAGCAGATCAATTGATCAATTCTTGTCTCTTCAAATATAATTTATTAATTTGACAAAAAAATTCAGAAACCTTGATTAATGAGCTATTCTACTAACATCACTATATTTAGAAAATTTCATGCAAAAAATGGTACGACAAGAGTTTCATCTTTAAAAAATGCTAAATCAAAATCGATGGCAAAATCGGCATATAAGCATTTGTTTTTTATATTTGTTTCTTGATTTTTTCCTTTCCATTTAATTACCATTTTTTGTTTTTGTTTTTTGCATCTACTTTTATAATATATAAATCATTATCAAATATCAAAAAAAAGAAATTAGAAAAAACACTTTATGTCATAGAATTCAAAAACTAAATAATAATGCGATTTAACGTTATAAATTTATCTTTTGAAATCCCAAATCCCAGGACACACTTCAAATTAAGATTTGAGCTTTGTGATTTTCTTATTTTAATCGTCCACTATAATGTTCTCAAAAAATTAGCTTAATGAAAAAATTGTCATTTTAAAAAAATATAAAAGGAACAAAGTCATGCAGGAAGAATTTGATAAAATTTTCAAAATGAACGGCAATTATTGAAACCTTTTTTCATCCTAATTTTTCCCTGATTAAAATCGTTTTTTAAAAAATACATATTTTGTAACTTTTTTCTATTACATTGTTTTTTTTTTCCATATTTCAAAATCAATAATTTCTATTTACCTGTGATTCTCGAATATGAGAAAATTTTCTTCTACCTTACAGTTTATTATTAAACAAAATTTAAATGCTGTGTTTCAGATATCATCATCTATTAGCTGAGCTGAATCTTTCAGAAAAATTACTCTTTTTAAATTTATTTAATTTTCAATGCTTATTTTTTTAATTCGAACCAACATTAAAACATTAATACTTTTCAATATCAGCAACCAAATATCGATTAACGACCACAAATACCTCTTATCTTGATTGAAGATATCTTATCTTCATTATCACTTTCATTTTGTAAAAAAAAAGCTCTTATTGGTGAACAAATTAAGTCTATCTTATCATATGCATAAGCAAACTAAACAAAGAACTGAAAAAAAAAAAAAAAAATAATAAGCCTGCAATAGATATGATATAATATCATAAATAAATTGAAAAAACCTTACCAATGCATCACCAGGCTCTGTTTTCTCTAAAATTTAAGTTGGCTACAGCCCACATTGGCCATTTGGATCTAAAAAGCTTGAAAAAACTGATGATTTCATTCGTTCTGGAATAAGCCAACCATCAAATTCATTTTTTGCAAACCTAAGCTACGTTAAAATGAAAACATTTTACGAAGCAGTTCGATCGGCTCTTTCAGCACGCTGACTAGTAAAAATTTTAAATATTATTTTTCCTCCCGAAAATTTTCAAGTGGCACAAATCAGAAAGCCAGATAATTTTTTATAAAAAAACAAGCACTGAAAATTAGAAACTCTAACAATCCCTTTGAGATGATCGTCATCATTACAAAGCATCAAAACAATTCTTATTTGAATCTATGATCGACCACTTCCATCAGCATTCTCCAAGATCACAGCAATTATATCTATGACCTAAATAACCTTAAATTGTACGTTTTAAAAAGAATGTGAATTCATAAATAAATTTTTTTATTTGGTTGTTATCATGCCGCAAAAGAAATAATTTAATGAATACCTTTTAAGCGCATAACAAACCGCGCGGAAATTCAGCTTTTTCAGTTTGTTAGTTTATAGTGATAATTCAGAGCTGCAAGCATACCGCAGCTTTCAAGAAAATTGCTCAGCAACTATTTAATTATCATTTTTCATTTTCTAGAAGTATTTTGACCATCTCTTTAAGCATGTTGATTAACAGAAGCCTAAAATATTACTTTTCTTCACAGATGGCAAATTTTTGGACAGGTGAGAATAACAACACACTGAACAATAGTATGAAACAGTTTGAAAATTTTCTTAAATTAAATATAGAGAAATTACATATAAAAATTAGAAAACCTAACATCAGCTCATGTCTGAAAGCTTTCTTAATCTCAATTATTTTTATAGTCAAAACAATTTGCAATTTAAAGAGCTATAAAAAATAAAATTTCACGTATGAAATGTTTGGAAATGTTTACCTTTCTGTTTTTGTTTGGCCAACGAAAAATGAAATCAACAAAAAGAAAAAAAAAACACATCATGTACTGAAAATATGATTAATAAGAATAATGAATTTAGTAGAAAAAGTCAAAGATACATGCAAAAACAAAATTAAAAAAAATTCGAAAATAACTAAAATGACAGAAAGAGAGGCGAAAGTGTCATTAATATTAATTATTATTCAATAACAACGATTAGTGCTTATAAAAGAAGAAAAAATATGCACATTATAGGGATAAGTTAAAAGGCATGCAGAAAAAAAAATTGCAAGAAAAGATTCGAAATTGTGTTTGTCCAATATTAATGATAATAATAGGTTAAATAAACAAAAAAGCGTGAATTTAGTAAACAGCAGATACAAAGAGCAAAATATACAAAAAGCGTGCAGTAAATTATCAAAAATATATTTCAGTAAAAAAAAAAAAGATGGTTTTATTATCCAATATGAAAAATAAATGAAGTAAACAAAAAATCTGTGCAAAAAGTAAAACAGACATGCATGCAGAAACAAAATCAAGACAGATAAATAAGATAAGAGAATAAAAAAACAAATAAACAAAAAGGCATACAATTGGAAACATACACAAAGTATGCATCAATAGCCGAAAGTATGAGCAAAGATCAGGAAAAGATTGCATTTTAAATTATAAATAATTTAAAATAAATATAGAAATAAAAAAACAAAGAATGATCTAAATATAAAAGTAAAATAATATAAAATATTGTCCAAACCGAGAAAAAAAAAATCATGCAAAATGTTAATCAAAATTACATGCAAAAATAAAAAAATAATAACAATAAATGCAGATAAACGAGGGAAAATCGATATAAATGCATATAAATTGGCAAAAATAGTAAAAAATATATTAAAAAAATAAAACAAATACAAAAAAACATATATAAAAAACAAAAAATATATTTTAAATAACAAAAAATAATGTATAAAAAATTTTTTAAATATAGAAAATATATGTAAGTGTATTTTAAAAATATAAAAAAAAAAATAATAAATGCATTAAAAAATGACAAAAAAGTATATATATAATGCATGCAATTAGTAGAACAAAAGAATAACCATCAATAAAAAGACATGCCTTTAATAAGGTAGAAAATATACAAAAATAATATTAATAACTGCTCAATACAAGCAGTAATGAAGTAAACAAAAAATTCGTGCAGAAATTAAAACAGATATGCATGCAAGCACAAATCCAGAAATATTGGAAAACAATTAAATAAGAGAAAAAAGTTCGTAACTACAAGTAGTCAATATTGCTCAATATTGCTATGCAAATGAACATGATCATTCACTCTCAAATCATAAATCAATCAATATTGCTATGCAAATGAACGTGATCATCCAGATTATCAATTTTAACTTTCTAGATTATCAATTTTAATTATAATTAAGTGCCAGAACTACTGAAAATTGCAATATTTTGAACTTGATTGATTATGTTGTATGCATTGCACCAGGGCGGGTCATATATGGTGTGCTCATTTTATAGTTTAAATATTAAAATACGCTTTTGTAATTAAGTTTTGCGCAAAAATTCATCAGCAAAATTAATAAAACCTTCAATTAATCATGGTTTTAATTCAATTTAAGATTTAAATTAAATTTTTTTTCAAATTTAAATTTTGAATTTTTTAAAAAATTTAAGATTTATAATAGTTTTCTTACATTTAACAAGGAAATTGGTTTTAAATTATCAATTTTTATTTTAATTAAGTGCCAAAACTACTAAAAATAGCAATATTTTGAACTTAATTGATTATGTTATATTTATTTAATTCCTACAGTTATAATTAATTTTTATTTTAAATTTAAAATTCAAATTTTATGAAAATTCATTAATTTATTAGAATTATAAAATAAATTCTAATAATATCAAAAACTAATTTTAATCAAATTTAAAATATTCAAAATATCAAATCATTAAAAAAATAGATATTTTGTAGTTAATTGATTGAATTTTATGCGTTGCACAAGTACTGGTCACACACATCGTGGTCATTTGACCAGCAATAAAATAAACTTTAGAAGTTAAGTTTCAATCAATATCTTATTAATTAAATTTTTAATTTTTCACGATTCTAATTCATTTTTACAATTAAAATTAATTTATATTTCAAATTTAAATAGCCCATTTATAAAAATCCCATAATTTGTACAGGTATTTGCATATTAAACTAGATAAGAAGTCTTACTATGATCAAAATCTAATTTTAAAAGATGTTAAAACTATTAAAAAATATCATTTAATAAAAAAAAATTGATTATTATATACGCATAGTGCGGGAACATTGTGGTCATTTGACATCTTAAATAATAAAATAATGCTTAGGCTTAGGCTTAGGGTATACTTAGGCTTAGGCTTAAGCTTTATTTCAAATCTAAACATTGATCTTGGTGAAAATTTTATAATTTGCAAGAGTTTTTGTATATTAAACGGATAAATAATTTC